TAGGCAGTAATCTTTGAAAACTATTTTAATAGCTTCGGAATTGTTGGGGTTATTGTTTTTCTCTGTAATAAAATGAATTTATATTTCGCTAAAAATAGGATTAATTCTTAAATATCATAATGTGATCAAGTTTTTTGATATTTTTTTGACAATAGGTAATTAATAATACTACTATAAAATACTAACAATGATTTTTCTAAACTACACTAATCGGCGGTGTCCTATTGCCGATATGTGAGGACTTTACATATTATGAAACCCTGTGAAGAGTATTGTTGTTTTTTTCAACCAGAATAAAAACATTATAAGACCAATAGGTACGTTTATCTCTCCTTTCAGAATCTAAACATAAATAGATTAGAAAACAAACCATTTATAAAAACTTATATATTTTTCATCTGTTCTTTCCCCTCTGGCGTGAAACAATATTAAAACGAAAACAAATATTTATAATACATATTATATAGGTACTGCACTATCATAAAAATACACACAAACAAGAATCGAATCTACAATCAGAATATTGTCTATCATTTTTTTTATAAAACTAATTGTCTATTGTATTTTTATTAGTTCCAAGTATACTCGGTACGCATAAAATAATCAAATAAATTATTTTAATTTACATTTTTTTAATTGTAAAATATTACAATATTTAAAAAGAAATTCGATTGCAACGATCATAGAAAGACATATATATATATTAATATATTATAAACTGGTTAAAGAAGTGTTACCTCACTTCTTTATTGTTTGATAGGAACTTATGATAGTATTAACCATAGATAATATATACATGGATTGAACATACCACGTATTCTAGTGTGATTGAAGAGCATAGTTACGAAAGTGGTTACATGTAATTAAAGTATATCCTTACAAACTGTGATAAGTAACCATAAAACAAACATTTATATTCTATTTTAGTTTGTGCTTTTTAATAATAACATAAAAACACTGACAAAATAGAAGATAATTACCAGGGCTTGGGACTTTATGCATTTGCATATTTGTTCGGGAAGTAAATAGAATAAATCTGATCCGGTACAAATTTGTGTTGTGGTGTTTGGAGTTAAAGTTTAAAAGTTTATTTTGCATATTTTGGAATTTTTTTCTACAAATGCATATTTTTAAGATTTATTGATTTTTATTGCATATTTTAAAATAATTTTTGATTCTTTAGTAAATTAATTTTATCTACATGATTTTGTCGGCAATAATACCGATAAGGCGATAAGGTGATAATCAATAGCGTCACGGGGATCCCATTTTATTTTTAGCTCTCAGGACAATATTATTTTTATTTCATCTGTCTTTTACAGTATTATTTTGTTTGCCACTTGCCTGTACATAGTGGTCGGCGGACTACGATCGTCATCGTGTGCACTGTGCATGTATCGTCAATCGTTGTCGTGTTCGTTATTTTTTGTATTAATTAGTGCTCGTATTTGTGGTATCATATGCCAAAAGAAAAAAAACACAAATTAGTGTGTTGAGAAGTTTCATTTTAAAATTTGGGGAATTATTAATTACAATAATCAATATTAATAGAAAAAAAAAACCAGGTTGATTATAATTATTTAATTTAAAAAATTGGCTGAGATCAGAATGATACAAAATTATCTTTATCGAAAACCAGTATCTACTATCTAATACCACAAATAATTATTAAGGTAACCAGTAGACTTTACGCTCACAATATACAGTGTATAATATTATGTATGGGGATGTCCTATCCATGTTTATAATATTATCTATGGTATTAACCACTCACGCTCTGATAACTATCTAATCGTGTACAATATAAAATAGTAATTATATTTCTTTGTTTACCTACACTATAACATTATTGGCATTTATAAAAAAAAAGTAGTGTGAATAGTAAGTAGGTATGTGTGTATATTTTGGTTGACATACTGTGAAGTATATATTTCAAGTTTCAACGTTATTATACGGAAGTTTTGTAATATCAAAAAAACGATTTAAATTGTTTAACATTAATCTTTAAATAGTATTTCCGGTAACTTCTATTTCACTTATTTATTAGAATTTATAATTTTACGTGTATTTAAAAAAAATATATTATCATTAGGCAGTAGGCACTGTGTATTTATTATCTTCCATAAAATCCCTACACATATGTGATAATAGAAATGGATAAATATCGTTAGGTGTAACAACTTAAGCATTTATTGTTAAATCATCATTAATATATGTATAAAATTAGCTACCCGGAGCTGTATTATTTATTATTATATTTTACAAAACATTATAGACTTTTATTTCTATCTATACTAGTATGACCTGAATATATTGTGTACTTGTGTCATAGAATTAATTTAAGATGTACAAAATATAATACCCACTAGGCAGCTTAGAATAATTGACAACTAATAAGTAGTAACTATAGTCCAAATTTATATTCTCTTAAAACACCCAAAATACTATGCAAATATTCTCTAAAATCAAAATAAACCGACAATTAGTATTCTCCTTATATAAATATATTATATTAAAAATTATAAAAATATGCAAAAATAATCGATGAACCTCAATATGGTATGCTGTAATATGCAAATATTTTTTTTTTTATTATTTACACTATTACTTAAATAATTATTGAAGTGAATAACCATACACTTGCATAGTTGCATTATAGAATAATTGATCTATAATAACAGTTCAAATAGTGTGTTTTGTATTAAACGATTCTATACATTATTTTGATAGGTCTTTAAAACAAATGGATATTTTTGCTTTAGTATAAATAATTATTCGTTTTAAAAACTTCAAAACACGCAATCCCAAAACCAAATATTTGAATATTTGATAAACAAATACGTTGTTTTTATCAATGAAGGTTAGGAAAAGTAATATGTAACGACTCGATGACTAGTCAAAATTATACAAAACAAAAAGTAATGGTTGGTTCGAATGTTTAAAAAATATTTTTTTAGGTACCTTAATTTTAAAATTAATAATAATTTAAAATTTAAATAAATTATTATTTTTCACACATTTTACAAAAATATATTTAAAATATGCTAATAAGTTAAATATTCCCTAACCCGTGAAATATTCTCAAATATGCAAAAACACTTTTTCCCGTCAACTCGTGTTGAATGAACTGTCCACATTTTTTACTGGCGTAAGACTGCACATATTCAGTAACGATACGTAAAAACAGATAAATCCGGAATAAAGACTAATAACAATTTCAAGCCAAATAACCACCATTTTGAACAGAGACAACAAAATAGAATGAAATGGACACGATTGATGTTTGAGACTCATCATAAGTATATTCAACTCATATTGGCGAATAATAATTGTATGTTAGCTAATTCATTTGTTTATAATTATGATTTAATATGTTTAAAAAACAATCGTTTATGAATAAAGTAGTCTGCAGCTGATAAAATAGTGTTTGTAATTTTTCAAATGTTTAATATAAAATATCTTAGCTAAAATTGAAGTTTATTCCCATATATTAATAATAAACAATAATAATTTTGCTACAAACTGTTCTATTTATTCATAACCATACAATTTACTATTAAAATTTGAATAACAAATATACTTTATTTAGATTAATTTATTACACTCGACATTAATATTTCATTTGTTTTTTGAAACATAATTTTAAAATGTATATTAAATTATTCTCAAACTTAAAAAAAAAATGCTATTAATATTACCTATCAATAATAATTTATTCGCAACAATCTGTTGTTCTTATTTATATTTAATTCAGAAAAGGTAAATACTTTTTGTCCAAATTTATGAATATCGTATGTATAATGATTTTTCTTTTAAATAATTTATAAACGTTACATTAAATTAACATTTATTTTCACAGCGTGGTTTATGTTGTATTAAATCATAATATTGCAGGGATATATTTACTAGTATTACGACTGTAAAAGCTACATATATTATAAGGTGCATGAATTACAAAAGTTATAAGTGTCTCGATGTTAACAACTTAATCAGTGGATTACTATCACTTAGTTAAATTAATTAAACAACAAATTTGTGATCACGACAAACACAGTTAACTAGTTAAGACAAAATAGAATTTTTTTTAATCGTTTAAGTGGAAAGTACTAATTTGTTTAATTATTAAGTGACATTACGAAAATTTAACTGAAAAACTGCTTTCAAGATGAGAATTTATAATGCACCTGATTCCTTTTTACAAATTATTAATTCATTCTTCGCAGATATTATCCAATAAATTAGAGAATCCCAATAAATATATTTTATTTATTTTTAATTTGTTATGATTAAATCATAACAGTAGACAGAAATACTATACATTATATGTCAGTAGTAGATTTAAAACCTTCAGCAGTGTGAGTAAGTATTACAATTTCAATTACTATTACATAAGTACATAAAACTATATATTTCCATATTTTTTCAGAATTCTAAATTAGAGGATACTCAAAGCCTAGTAAAAACCATTTTTAAAGGTCTCTACAGAAATACGAGAAGTATATAAAAATTAATTTAGTGAGTAGACATATTTAATTATGTACATGTTGAAATAAAATAAGTAAATAATATTAAAGTTTTGATATTTCAAAAACTAAGCCATTTTATTGAATATGTTTGTGGGTATATAGTGATGCTGATTGTAGCACAATATTGTATGGTATTAATATAATTCATACCGAGCGTATAAAAAAATCAAAATCAAAATTTTTTTCCTGCCTTCACCATTACACATACGTATTAAGTGTACCTATTATTTGGATAATAATTCATTACTGCAGATTATATATCTTATAAAAACAATTAAAAAAAAAAAAAAACATTATATCGTATAGGACGACAGTAAAAATACACCAATAACAAAATTATAGAAACATAGAATACCGGCTGTTATATTATATTATTGTGCTACTCGTTACCTATATCACGGAGGGGGCGAATGTTAAAAAATAGACGAATACTATTATTATTATTATTATTATTATTATTGATGTGGTACAAACCTTTTTCGCGGTTATCCGGTAGTCAGACGGACGGTGTTAAATGTACACGCGTGTACGCCGTTTGCGTGCCGTTGGTGTATTAAGGCGGCGGCGGCGGAGGATCAAAAGCCTGTTGCGTACAACACCGGTGTGTGTGCGGACGACGACGGCGACGACTCGAAGTAGTTGTGAAAATCGCGGTACAAACGTGCGCGTGTGGCGTCGGTGAGCGAAAAGGGGTTGTAGTATCGTATGGAATAATGCGCGATTTTTGGGACGGAAAAAAAGCCCTGCTCCTCGATCGGCGGCTGTATAAATCGGGAACCGACGGCGACGGCCGCGTGCTGTGGGTTGGGTCAAGTCAGGTCGCCGACGACGACGACGAGATGTGCCGGAAACGGCGGATCCGAAATAAATAAGATCTGAATAATAAGAATATACAATATTATTGTATGATTTACTTTGGTCCGACGCGATATTTTTGTAAACGTCGTGTGCCGCTCGACACCCGGTTACAACACGTTATATATACGCGAAACTCCTCGTCGGACCCGCCCCCGCAGTATTTTACACCCCCTTACGTGCGCCCGCGCGAACGAAATCCCCCCCACCCCCACCAACGAGACACCCCCCGCAACGATCACATATACATTTTGTACTTACGGCGTATGGTTACATGTATAGGTGCTTGCTGCAGCTATAACGCTGCTTTAGAGTGTCTGTCCGCGAAGAGCATGTGTGTGCGTGTGTGTGTCACAGAGGCCGCGGTCGGTCGCCAAACTCTGTTGCTGCTGCTGACTGTTCGTATACTTACCTGCGGTGTTGCGACCAGCGAGAATGGTGTTTCTGAGACCGGACCTAAAGCGGGCCATGGGCTGCTTGCAAAAAAAAAACTAATTTGATAAATATAAAAGAGCAGTTAAACCAATAATATATTCCGCCGATTAGATTCAAAATTCAAAATACATAAACATTAATACCGTCGAGTTCATATATTTGCAGGAATTCGGAAGAGTAGAGAATTGTGATGGATACATATAGGTAGTATGTTATTGGTGGCTTAAGGTGAAACTTAAAGTATAATATCCCAACTAGAATTCTCTATAGCTTTATCAAAAACGCATTATACTAATCTTCACCCAAATATGTATGTTTATAGATTATATATTTTGGGAGATTTTTTCTTGTCCCTAAGGAATATTATAAATGGCATTTATTCCTTTATAGGAAATTCAAAATATGATTTTTGTTTTCACTGTAAATTACACAATTGTTGACCTTATATGTGTAAAATTTAAATGCCACAAATTATTTATTAAACATAAATTGTGTACCGAGTGCAATAATTGATGTGTACACTTACTACTGCGAGATCGTTAAATAGTTCTTCCCTGCAGGTTCTATGAATATTTGTCTCTAAAAATATAACTAAAATCAATTTATTCATAATAATATATCGATATAGAAATGGGGGTCCAAAACAATTTCACTGGCGAAGAATTCATTGATTATAATAACGGTTGACGTGTTAAAATAGAAAATAATTCTCAGGTCTATAACATTGTTCGATGCGTGCTTTACTCCGACTTGATTCAACAATGACATTTTGAAGTCCATGCGATACACTGAGTAGATACCTATACATGTTATTATTATTAATCACAGTGGCCAAATAGTTGCTGTGATAATATTTAATGGTAGGATTAAATGTAAATCTGACGAATATTACTAGTTTATTCAAGTAGGTATATTAATACAATGATGTACAGTATGATGAAATATGAGTTTAGCCATTATGACTTCACAAAGCAATAGATTATCATCGTCTAATAAGACAGTGTTACCTTTACTTACATATTTCATTTTTTAATTATTTTTATTTTAGTTTTCTCGTGCAAAGATAAAACAATATACTTATTGACTTTATAATGACTTTTTTTTTGCCTGTCACCACGTCTTTGAACAGAAAAATGCTTCAATCTAACCTTGAGGGTAGTTTCTAGAAGCAAATTGAATCTAGTTCATACTTTAGGGGGGCAGTCAAAAGTAGAAAATTTCTCGTGCTTTTTAAAATAATTGGAAAATAATAAACTTTTATAACTATGAAGTATGAAGTAAAGCTATTCCCCGGTTTTTTATTTAGTCCTGGACACGGGACAATATTTTAAGCCCAAATACCGAATTTTCAATCTATGGTATTTGCAATCTCCCAACATTATAAATAAATTAGTAAATCTGTGGGGAACAATCCTATGGGAATAAAGGTACCTCAAGTATAATCGATATCTTAGTTTGAGAATATTAGACGGTGATACTCATAAGCATTTATTTTTAACATTTTCGTTCATATTTTAACATTTTACGAATTTGGTTTTTATCCAGCATCAAGACCAGCATTAGTAGGTACTATCACTAAATATTTTAAAAATGAGTTATAATAAAATATTTTAACATAAGAACCAAAAGTTGATTTTTATTTGAATCTATTTTCTGATCGAATATCTTTAATCTGCATAATTACTTTAATCCTACAGTACCTATGACATAATAATGACATTAATAACTGAGAAGACACCTAAGGAGAAGAAAATGTAAGAAAAATATAAATAAAATTACAATCATTGAGCGATGAGGTATATATATAAGTAACTAATAGATTAACTTCAACTGTCCTACCGGACAACACTCGTTTTATGTTGGCGTTGTTAGGTGTGTACAGATAAATGATGATGTCGCGCTGCTGCACCATTTAGTATTAAAAAATAGTATAAATTAGCAATGATTAATTTCACTTTAAACTGCAGGTCAATGTCAGTGACGTCGGGATTTATTTAAAATGTATTAGTATGATTATGAATAAAGACGTATATCTGTAATCTGTATAAGCAACATTCTAGACATCTCCCTTAGCAGCTCGTATATTCTTGACGAATAAATAAGAATTAAAACTTGTAAAAAATTTACTAAACATATTATGTAACTCGGTAGAATTTTCATATTCTCTCTTGCAAAAATCTAACACTATTTCCGTCTGATACTTAAAAGGGCGTTATGATGAACGCAATGTTCGCATTATCAAAAAGGTGTGTTTCCAAACAGGTCAAAATATCAGAAAAGATTTTTTTTTAAAAATGCTTAAAATCTAAAATTAATATTATTTCTTCATACACAACATTTAAAAAAAATCTGTTTTTAAATATTTTGGACTAAAATATTAAGTATAAAATCGAAATACATTCTGAGTTAACATAAAAAAGTTTAACGGTATTTCATTCTGATTATACCTAAATCAAACTATCAAAATGTTTAAAATGCACTAAGACATACTATAATATAGGCAATATTAAATAATATCAATTAATTATTCGATTAATACAAACCCACAACATAATATTTCCAAATAGTTGTATTTTAGACTTTGTTCTCTGGAGCGATGAATTATTGATTTTATAATGGTATAAGTTTTCAAAAAAAATGTTTGTGTTATCTCCTTTTTAAGCAGTAAAAATGCTTATGTATTCGACTTCAATATCTTCCCTAGTAGTAGTAAAATGACGTAAATAGAGCATTGGATTTAAAGGGAGGGAGGTCAAAAGTAAAAATGCCCAGTAACTTATTTTTATAATGTTTGGGAGGAATAGGAATTTTTAGGCAAAACCAGTTTTTGTCATTATTGATTTTTTTATTATATTGTGATTAAAAAATAAATAACCGTAGATACTTTAAATTGTCTTCAATTGTTTATATTATAATGTCCTACACATGGTATAATTTTCATAATATTGTTGACATTTTTTAAGCTATTTATACAAATTTTAAATCTTTGTTTTTTTTTTTCTATAAATATCGATCAATAATTTTCCATTGGTCGAAAAGCTTGAAAATCTAATACCTACGAGGTTCCTCATAAATATTTTATTCTGAAACCAAAAAAATCTAATAAATATATTATTACTATTTTTCTTAGAGACATTTGAAGTACGAATTTTGACAAAAATAGATGTTTGAACAAAAAATATTGAAAATTATTCAATTAAAATAATAACAATAAAAAATTTAAATATTTTTATGATTACATCATTTCTAAAAAATGAGATTTTAAAACATTTAAATATTATGACAATTTACAGTCAATAAAAATGTATTATACTTATACTTATTATTGTTTATAAGCTGTTTTATATTGTATAATATTATACAATAATTACTCTCCATGTAGGTGTATCAGACTAAAATTATTGTGAAATGTCTTACTTTCAAACTGAATGAAGAGAACGTACTAATTTAAAACTTACCAACGAACTAATTTATTTCATGAATTTATATAGGTACTTTAAAATATGTATTATAAGCTGTCCATTTTCCAAGAGGAAAGTTTTAAATTTTTGCTCGAGAGAAACACTTAACAATTGTATACATCTCGATAGTTATTGGACCGGAAACGTGTAAATACATAACATTGTTATTATATATACTTAACTGAATAATAAATAAAATATATAAATATGATATATAATGGTAACGTAAAGCTTTCAGAGTGGATGGAATTAATCACAGGGCTAATGGAAGAAACTTCGAAACAATAGAGAATAAAAAAAAAAAAAACATGCCGACGAATAAGAATCAGACGAGGGGAATCTCATGATTTAAGGAGGACATCGTCGCGATAACGTGGTTATGGGAAGAAGAATATAGCTGTCGGGGGTCAAATAATAAGAATCATATCATATGACAAAAACGATGTTGTCCGAAACGCGGAGACACGAGAGAGACATGTGGGTGCCTACTACAAAAAATCACGTACAACCCCGCGAGATACGTATAACATAAGGTATGACGTTAGCGCTGAGGGGGGAGAGACGTTAAAATATATTATTACATTCTGCGCTAACACAATATTGTTTCTGCCAAAATAGTGTTGTTTCTTTGTATAGGTACAATCGTACGTTATTGTTATATTTGCTTAGCAACATTTCCATTACACTACAGTGAAACCTGCACTCGCCGCTATGCACGTGCGTGTGTGTGTTTTCTATAAATACACGAGTGTTGAGCATTAGCATGAAACTGTTTTCGTTTCGAATACGCTAAAAGTCTTTGGATTTAAAGAAAGGACTAAGTCTATACAACACTACGCGCGCGCGCGCTCGCCCATACACACACGCACACACACGCACACACACACGCACACACGCACCCATGTAAATTATTGGACAAAGGACAACACGCGTGACGGTTAGCTCGTTTCGAAGCTTTACAGGGGTACGACATGAGATGAGGTGCACCGTACTTTTCGAATATTACACTCTGTACAGATGCGCTCGTATATATTTATACATGCGATAGATACGAGTCACGATAATAATTTCATTCCGTAAACGTTGTTTTCATAGATTTGAGATTAATCAGTATATTATAATATGTTTGCATTCCTCGTTCGCGACTTGTGATAAATATGTAAGAATGATCGTGCATACATAAAGTCTAAATATCAAGCGTGTAGTG